TATCAACGAAGCTTAATCATATTGATACAGAGGAGATGACGACAGTTTTGGAGGAAGAAAAATTGGATACAACCATGATGGAAGAGGCAGTGAGCATGGAGGCAGTGACTGGAGACCTTAAATTCAGGTTTACGGTAGGGCTTTAACTTCTAAAATCATAATTAGCAAACATTAATAGTTAGTATTTTGATTCAATGTTGGCTCTATGGTTCTCTATTATTACTACCATGTTGTTTGGATTCTATCATCTTGTTTTTTTTATTCTATGTTTGTATTTCATCTTGAAATCTATTAAAACAAATGGAAAAGAAAAAAATGCAACTATAAGCAATCGTGAAGGGAAAATCTTACAAGTATTGGATTTGCTTTGTATTGTTTTTGTTGTTGGATAGCTAAAGCGAATGGTGTGTTACTTGCTATGTTGTGTTTTTATTTGTCGTTCTATCATACAACACAAAACAACAAAATCCAGACAATCTTTCGTGCCTTTCTCTTTTAAAAAATGGTCTCTGGTTCTTCTCTCCTTTTGCTCTGTGATCTCCAAATAAGGGGGGAAATCAGTACAACCTTTTTGCTCGCTCTTTTTTCTGTAAAAAGAAACAATCCTGAGGTTTTTCCTTTACTGCTTTTTTATTCCCTTTTAAAAATCGGGCAGTATAACCCCTTCCCCTTTTCTCTGTTCTCTCTTATTTTCTACCTCCCCCTCAAAACTGACTCTTTTCAATTTTTAATTCCCCACTATTTGATTATTCCAACTGCTAAAAACCAACATTGATCTCTTTCTTTTTCTGCATACAACTGCTGTCCATTGGTCTTGAGTTGGGCCTCTAACGGATTTGGGGTCGGGTTTAGCGACCTATCCCCGGACAGAAACGAGCATCTACAACGATAATCAAAATTTTGTATTTGGATCTTGACTTGCTTCGATTTTTATCTTTATCCTTTTCATCATTGTCTATATTTCTACCTTTGTTTTCAGTAACCAAAATCTCGAACTGTGATGTAGAACCTTGAGGCTTGCTTCTAACATCATCATTTAACACATTACTTTTAACCAAATCTAAAGTAACAATATCTTGTGGTGTAGAATTAATGAGTGAAATCCAAAATTTTCCCCAAAAATCTGATAGAGTAGCAAACAACCAAAGTCCTAAAATCTCATTATCAAATTTGACACTCATGCCAAGCAACTGATTCATCACATTCTGAAACTCACTAACATGGTCAACTATAGGCATTCATTCTTTGTATCTCAACGCCATCATTTTTTAAGCATAAATTGTATAACAACTTGTTATTACTCGACCTCGAAGCATATAAGTTTTCAAGTTTTTCTCATAATGTGCGAGCATGTGTCTCTTAATCATCGTGGTTGTGAACATTTTCTTCAACTAATTGTTGAATAAAATCACACACCTACCGATTCTCAAATTCTCATTCCTCATCATTTTTCGATTCAGGTTTTTGAGTAGCAAAGACAGGAAAATGCAGAGCCCTTACAAATTATATGTCTTTCATTTTATTCCGCCAAAGTTAGTAATTCATGTCATCAACATGATCATCTTGCTTGTATTAATTTTCATATGCTTAAATTGTAACACCCTAATCTGATTCAACCCAAAATTAAAGGATTAAAGTATTTCACAAAACCACTGAAGTGGGTAACCCAAAAATTTTGTTTTAAAATAACATTGTAATCATCATTAAAATACCATCAATTTAAATCGTATATGAAACCGTAAGTAACCAAGTTTATAAAAGTTGAGAGCTCCATAATATGTTCCAAAATAATATCATAGTATTTGTATCAAAATAGAATTACAACTCGAACACACAAAGGTCTATAAATAGTACATGCCCTCTAAAATAGATTCAAAACATACTTTGATGCCTTGGTGGATTTGGAACATGAACCAACGATAAGCTCCTCGAGAAACCTCCTAAGAACATGCACACGTAAATCATTTTGTATTAATTTTCATATGCTTAAATTGTAACACCCTAATCTGATTCAACCCAAAATTGAAGGATTAAAGTATTTCACGAAACCACTGAAGTGGGTAACCCAAAAATTTTGTTTTAAAATAACATTGTAATCATCATTAAAATACCATCAATTTAAATCGTATATGAAACCGTAAGTAACCAAGTTTATAAAAGTAGAGAGCTCCAGAATATGTTCCAAAATAATATCGTAGTATTTGTATCAAAATAGAATTACAACTCGATCACACAAAGGTCTATAAATAGTATATGCCCTCTAAAATAGATTCAAAACATACTTTGATGCCTTGGTGGATTTGGAACATGAACCAACAATAAGCTCCTCGAGAAACCTCCTAAGAACATGCACACGTAAATCATTTTGAACACGATATAATTTAAGTATTTATTTCCTTAATTAAATCTTTTAAGAAAAATGTTAGATATTCAATTAGATAAAAAATAAAAATAATATCTAGTTACATAAAAAAAATTAAATACCTAATCATATCACTAAAAGATTAAAATTAAGGTTAAACTATAAGTTTAATATCTCAAATATTACTTTTGTTATATTTTAGACATCAAACTATATTTTGTTTATGTCTAACGTTATGTGTTGGTTTCAGTTTGATCACCTATCATTAAAAAATTAATGGTTATATTGGCGTGTAATCATAAAGTAATACCATATAATCATTGATTTTTTAAAAAATGTCACGTCAGTAGTTCTGTTACTTTTTAATGGTTGGTGACTAAAATGAAACCTAAACGTATTGTTAGGTATGATTTTGAAAAAAAATAGTTGAACGACTAAAATGAAATAAAAGTGATAGTCGGAATACTAAATATATAGTTTAACCTAAAATTAAAAACCAAAATTTGTTTAACATGTAAAACCTTTTGAATTTTAACATGACCGAGACAAAAAGTGATAATTGAAATAATAAATATATAATTTAACCTAAAATTAAATTCCAAAATTTATATTTACATTAAATTTATTCAACATATAAAACCTTTTGAATTTCTTTTTCTTTTTTATTAAAGTAAATTACAAATTTAATAATTAAATTTTTTTTTCTTATTTTAAAAAAATTAATTTAATAACTAAATTTTATACATTAAATTATTTTAATACTCTATCGTTAATTTTGTAATGACATTATCACGTAACATAATTAAATATTTTTAATCATTAACATGAATGTAAGGAAAAAGACAAACAAAAGGGTTGAAAGAAGGGTAAAGATTAATTACCCAAAGTAAAGAACTTTAAACTATCGTTGGATTTTCTTCTTCTGCATACTGACAGATATCGTTGTGACGGATTGACGGGGCAGCCTACGCCTACAGCTCTACCAAGGGCTGACCCTTCCGGTCTTTACAGTCATTCCGACCGTCCATGGTCACTGTCTTTCTTCTAGGTCGTCTTCCTCACTGTTTACATTCATCATTGTAACGCAGCTCACGCTATGGCCTTCTCCTCCGTCACCGCTGCAGCTACTTCTTCTCAAAGGTTTCGGCCGAAAGGTCTTGATCTGGCGGTGGTCCACCGGCGAAACAGACAAAATTCTTACGTTGCACGAACAAGGGAAGTTTAAGGCGCTCTTCAATGGCATCTTTGTGGATACTTGTAATGGTGCTTGTGAATGCTTTGTTTCTTCTGCAATGGCAGTCATAAGATTATTGCCGATGATGGGTTTTCGGTAATGCATGTAGTGCAATGAGAATAATATGATTATTTGCCCTCTTTGCTGCTGATTTTTTTGTTCTACTTCTTGTTGGGTGTTATTTGTAAAACATTGCTTCTCTGATTCCTCAATTTGTCATCTTTGAACACTAATGTTGTTAAAAAACTAAAAACTTGGGAAAATGGCGCTGGAATTAGTTCAACCTTAAACTTGGGATTTTACTTATGTTTTAAATTTGCAATTTTTTTGCCAATAAAAGATCTGTAACAAGGTTCAACACTAAACTTGAGTGTCCTTAAGGAAACCAAAAATTAGCTCAGCAGTTGCATGCATCTTTTGTTCGTTCCCATAACTGTTGAAACACCCTTGATAATTGATTGAGCACAGGAAGGCATATACATGCTAAGCAACCTATGCATGTCAATCATAGTGTTGATTTCGTTGATGTCCTGAGTTGTCCCACCATCGCCTATAAAGTGTTTAGTACAAGCCATTAACCTTGTCTTTGACAGAATCGAAGAACAGAATAAAGAGGGAATGGAAGGTAGTTCCAAGAATGGAGAAGTAGTAGGACGGAGTATAGACTGCTGGGTGTTTTTAGTGACTCCGCTGTTTGTTTCGAAGATAGGTCAGATTAAGTCTGCAAAAGGTGACGATGTTGGAGGAGGTGGTTCTAATTCAAAAAGGTTAGAACATAGTCTGTTCTCCATAGAAGAAATATGGTAATCTTGAAAAGTTCCATTCACAGTTGAAATGGGACAAAATTTCAGAATCATAGGAAGCGTAAACGATCACCGATGCCGCAGAATAAACGGCCGCTATACCACCATCCGGTAGCTATTTGAATAGCTGGGTGCGAGGATGGGTGGTGAGGGAAAAAAGTGTAAACAAGGTGAAAGAGTTCTCGGCAATGAGAATGGCAAGTACTAGGTTTTCGCCCCCGAAATAGTAAAATAATTTGGTTTCGCGATGTGAGATGGATGATACGGTCGTCGTAACTTTGGGACGGAAGAGGGTGGCTTCCCATACTAATTTTTAATTTGCCCCAAATATATGTCACCCTTAATTTATTTTAAACGTAAATCCTAATTGGTTGAAGAAAATATTAAAATAATTTAGGTCATGACAGTGTAACCGAAAAAAAATTTAAAAAATTAATGTATAAAATTTAGTTATTAAATTGAAAAATATTAAAATATAATGATCAAAATAAAAGAGATGGTAAAGTTTAATTGATAAATTTATAATTTACCCTTTTTTGTTAAGTAAAACCTTTGGAATTTCTGCACACCCCACTAATTCAAGTTGTTCAAACGGGGTGCAGCTCCGAGGTGGACGCTATTTTTTTCCCCTTATGCTTCATCCGTCTGAAGTTGTACAGCAATTAACCTCAAAAGATCTTAGCGTTTGGAGTTTGCAGAAATAATTGGTTTAAATTTAAATTTTAATAGAATCGAGTAGGTAGTAAACAATGGTTTGGGCTTTGCTTCCCGTCGATCCTTCGTCAGGCAAGTAAAGCTTAATTGAAGTGCTACTATTGCTTCATTTTTGCGTTGCATTATTTTCAAGACTGAAACCCTATTGCATTTGGGCAGCTGAAGAAATAGGAGAAGAAGATAAGTATTATATCTTCAAGAAGGGAACGTATACTGTGGGTCGAAAAGGTTATCGAATTTGCTCCTTTCACTTTCTTTTCTTTTCTTTCTGTGAGGAAATTGATAGATTCTAATTTTTGTTTTCATTTTGCTATATTGGGGTTTGCTCTCCTTTCCTTTGTGCTTTGATTTGTTGAAGGGTGTGATGTCATCATTCACAAAGACAAGGGCGTGTCCAGAATCCATGCTCACATAATGGTCGATGGAATGACTCAATCATCTCAAGTTACTATCAAAGATTTGTCCAAGTACGGGACATTCATTAACAAGAATCTCACTTCTAACAAGAAAGTTCATCAATTTCCTAATAAACAGACCTCTCTGGAAGATGGGGACCTTCTTTCTTTTGGAACTGGAAATGCAACCTTAAGGTACTGTCAATTTAATGATTCCTTTATTTCAATGAATTCAGTGATTTCGTACCGAATGACTAAATCCTCTCGCCCCTTGTATATGTTCAGATTCTCTTATGTGCCGCTTGTATTCTACATCTGCTGTGCTGAGGCCTCCCATATGAGTCATTATCTTGAGGACAAAGTTTCATCCATTGGTTAGTTAAAATTTATCGTTTTGGCTTCAATCTTCATAAAGCTTTTTGTCTCATAATTTCACATTTAAAACTTGTTCTTTTTTCTTTTAGTCCTTTTATCCGCATTCTGAAAAAATTAATGTTGCGTCTAGAATTAAGATAGAGAAACAAAAATTGATGGAACCTGGAGTTCTTTTGTTGTACCCTCAAGCATTTTGCTGACCATGCTAATATGATCTCGGCGTTCGAAAATATTGTCATTATTTCCCTGTTTGGTATGAGCAATTGTCATTATGTCCTTGTTTTATATTTGCAATAAACAAATAGAAGCTGCTCAGACAATCAACTTCTCTCAAAACTAGGTGCATTGGGGTTGAAACTAATTGTGGAATTTGCAGCAATCAGCAGAAGGAACATTTTTTCAAAGGAAAAATTAGCTAAAAGAATTGGATTGTATTCATGTAGTTATCTTTGTAAAGACCACTATCTGAGTCTTAGAGTTCAACTCCTCGGACTTTTCCAATAAGGTGGGCACTGCTTTACTTGGATGGCAGATGGCAGTTATGTTGCAGGGAGAAAAATATCGTTCTCCAGGGGGTTGACTTGTGCAAGTCTTAGAATTATAATCTTCAGTTCTTTACCTTAGGAAATAGGGTAGAGTGGTGAAAGTCTTAGAATCTTGATCTTCATTTCTTTTCCTTTTGCATGTATTGATTTTGCATTAGGCACTGTTTGCTTTCGGAGGAGAGGAAAGTTCTTTTTGTTATAACACCGATTTTGTTCTATATTTTTGGCTAACTCTATCATTTCCTTGTCATGAAGGTGCTCGTCTTATTAATGCCTACAATGAAGATTGTACTCATGTGATTGTTGATCAACACATGCCCCTGAAAAGGGATGTACTTGATGCAATTGTGGATAAGAAACCGCTTTTACATACTAGTTGGCTTGAGGTATAGATTTTTAAAATGCCCCATTTTATCTTCTTTAATGGTAATGATGATGTTAAGTTTAAACAAAACTAATATTTATGTTGGCATGTAATTCTGATTTGATGAGAATGCTTAATTACGAAATACCATACATGTTTCATAAATCTCTTTGTTTGAAACCTTTAAGAGTTGTGCTTATTTTTGTTTTTGATCTTGTCTATCGAGACACTATTAGCTGACTACGAGATTTCCACACTCCAAACATCTGGGATCTTATTCCTACCTAATGTTTACCGAATTAGTGCTTACAATTTGAGATTTTGATGCAATTCAAGCTGCCAAACCTAATTAGAAAGTCCAGGCCTTTGATAGTACAAAGCTTTAAGAATGAGGTATTCCTACCTAAAGTTTGACCTTGAAGTTTCATAGAAGTTAGAGGTTGCTCCTAAAGTCTCTATTTTGATGAAAGGCAAGATTGAAATGCTTTCAATTTGGGAAAAAGGAAATTATCATAAGACAACCCAGAAATAATTAAGAAACACTACCCAAGTATTTAAGTAAAGAGAGAACTCAAGGAAAAAATTGTTTTGCCGGCCGTCGAGTTTGAAATCATCTTTTTACATTTTGCTCCTAGTCAACCAGCTAGGAAAATTTCCTTGAGAAGGTTCTTACTTCCTGTAACAGCTTGAATGATCCGAGTGTTTAGCGATGGTTTCTCCACCTCTTCTGTACATTTTTTAATATGTTTGGCTAAGCCTTAAATTAGAGCCCTTTTTATGTTTTTGTTACAAATGGAGATAAACGTCTATGAATCAAAGCAGCTTATTTAAGTAATTTTTATGAATTCTTCTTTATTTTTGTTTCTTTAATAGACAAGCTGAACTTATATAAGTAATGCTAGTAAATTGTTCCTCTTTTTTTTAAGGAAAACTGTAAATTAAGTTTCAATAAAATCTCAACAATGCAAAATTTTAATTTAATTAAAAAATTATAATTACAGATTAGATTATTAAGTATCAACATATTATTTGTTGAGTGGCACCAAGGTTCATTGTCTATACTTTTTTTTTCTCTGAAAAGATCATTGTCTATATTTGTTCTTCAAGAATGGTCACTCTGTAAAGACACGTTTAGGGCTCAAATACTGAAACAGAATGTAATAAACATCCTCTTAACTCAAATGGCTTTTTTTTTTTTTGCTTGCCTTGTATTTGTTTTAAAAAATGATGGTACATGATGAGGTAAGTTTCAGTTACGTGAAGAACTAAAGTATGCTGGAAAATGCAAAAAGAGTGAAAGAAAATATGCAGGTTTAAGCTTTTGTTAGCTAGAAATCAAATCAAGTGTTTAACCTGCCAAAATGATGCTTTAAGATTACAATTTTCCCAATCGATTATTATCAAATGATGTGGAGTGTAATATTTGGTACCATAGTTAATACAGATAGATTGATTGTGGAGTGCCTTGCACTTTTTCCACGGTCAAGAATGTTTTTGTTGATAAAATTAATACAACTGTTTTAATTGTACTTACCTGTACTTTAGTTGTACTTACCTGTACTTTATTTAGCTTGTAGCTGACAAAAGTATCCACACTGAGTTTCCTGACTGCCGACCGTAAGTATTATTTCAGTGCTTTACCTTTTGGGTTAGTTTTACACATGAAGTTTTTCCTTTATAACAGTACTGATTTATGTTTTCACCCTCAGCCATGTTCCAAAAATAATGGTGGATGGAGTAGTTGTTGAAGTTGCAGACCCAAAAACGCGTGAAAATTGTTTGGGAGAATACACCTTTTTGTTAGAATCTACTCATGTGGTAATATATTTTCATATTTTGTAATTGCTCTGAAGATTTTATTTTCTTGTGTCCACAATCCATATTAAGAAGAAAGTTGGTTCCATTTATATATTCATCTTTTGCTTTTTGTTCACTGGTTCTCACATGCACATGTTAATGTTGGGTGCTTAACACCTGTGGGAAATCTTTGATTTTTTCGGTATCCATTTTATATAGCTTTTCTGGGCAGTTTGCTACTATGTTATCTTATTTTAAAATTGAGGATGTGACACATATGTACATTGTATCAGCAATTAAAGGAATAAATTAGTGAATCTAAAAACTGAAGTGTTATGCTTGTTCCTAACAGTTTCCGACATCTTTTCAGTTACAAAAAAGAATCATAAGGATGAATTAAGAACCCTAAAGCTCTGATACTATGTTCTAAATTGAAAAGAGGAATTATACCTTGTATATTTGTTGAATAAGGAGCGGTACATCTTTATTGCACATAACCCAGTCTAATTAGGGAAACATAACTAAATACATAAGGCCATTTATTTTCAAAAAATAAAATATCTCCAAAAATATGCTATTTCTCCTAAAAATCTACTATTTCTCATTAAATATTCCCTAAATCTAATCTCTGGTTACAAGGAATAAATCAATGAATAAAATCTCGATATTCTAGGGATTCATTTCACGGTTCTCCCACAATTTTTCTTGTCACTTGTGAGCTCTTAATGATTTAGTTGTCATAGTTTTATTGTTATAAAAGCTCATTCATGCAGTTGCCTCCATCAGGTCTATGGTTTTTTTGAGTTACCATGTGGTGTATTGCATTCCATCTTTATTTCAAAATTTGAAATGCATGTCCTTACCTACATATCGTTTTCATCCTATGCCAACTTTTATTGTTGAATCTCTTTGGATTAATATAATTAGTGAGAGAAAAGTTTGTAAACTTTAATGCTTGTTCCTAAGACTAGTTGGTATCTAGGAACTTTGAGCTGAAATGTCTTTCTTAGTTTTTTATGTTTCATTGTTTTGTGCAGTACAATTTTGGGGATAGATTGCAGTCACTACTAGAAGTGAGTGGCTCAAGGGTTATCTGGGTTAAAGACATTCGTTCAAATAATCAGGTACATTTCATATTTCATGTTTTCTTTCCAACAACCCGTCAGTTGTAATGGCATCGTATAATATGTTTGCTCTGAAGAAGTTACATAAAATCATTGTTGAGACATAAGTATTCTTTATGCTTGTGTCTTTGTATTTTTCTTTTGTCGTTGTTTGTACAAATTCATAGAAAACATTATTCAAGTGTTCATTGTTCATTTATGTTGTGGTTTAACATAGAATATCAATATTGTTTGGTAACACCTAGAATTAAAAAGCTTAAGCATCTATCACCTTTTGCAGAAGTTTTAGCCCTGAGTTCCCCATAACCTTGAACAAAGAGATGGGAGGTAAACTTAGATTTGATCGTTTCAACCTGTTGTAATCTAAGAGAATAAATAGAGAGAGAAGGGAAGAATAATAGTGTTAACGTAAAAAAATTGATTATTGAAGTTTGAAGTAGGAGATTTTAAGAGTTTAAATAAACTGAGTGGATGGCTTCTAATATGACTTTTCCACTAAAGATAAACTTTTATCTAGATTATGAAGACTCTTAAAATTTATCTTATCATAAAAATACTCCTAAAATAAATGAGATTTCTACTACTACACGGCTACTTCTGAGTTCTGACACTCCCCCTAAAGTTGGTGAGTGGTTGCGTTGGTAACACTTAAAGGTTTTGCTCTTGTTATCACATGTCGGAGCATGGGAAGGTTTTTCAATGGTGGCTTCCATCTCCGATGCCTTCTTGGGATCCTGACAAGACCTTGCTGATCATTTGCTATTGAGGTCGATGTTTTTGGTTGCTGCTATTCGTTAGTGGCGTTGTTGGTTTTGGCATTTTGGTACAGTGGAGGATTTTTGTTGATTTTCAGTTGTTGGATACCACTTAGTCCATACGTATATTGAGACCATTTTTTTACTGGGTAGATAGTATTATTTTGTTTCGGATCACTGAGCATCAATTAATTGGGTCCAACTGTCTATACTAGAGCAAAATATTGTGCATCTACCTACAAAGTATAGATAAGGATGATCACTTGACCGATGATCCTCCAACTAATGAAAGTAGAAAGCTCTGTAAAAGGGAATGTATCTCGTATGTATAAGGTATGAAAATCCTTTTATCGTGTTGAGAATGAGGGTAAATCTTCCACTACCCATTTTATGGAATTCAAGAGAATTAATGGAGAGCTGAATGTGCTTTTTTCATTTAATATCGATGTCAAAGTGTTTCAAACTCAACGAGAACATCCTTATCTATACTTCGTAGGTAGATACGCAATATTTTGCTTATTCAGCTCCAGACTAGAATGTTTGATAATTGCTTTTGTCATTTAATATCGATGGCCATTTTTAGGACTTTTATCTTGAATTTATTTGATAATTGCTACTCTTATTCTGCCAATAGAATGTTTTCTGATAATTAATTATTAAATATCAATTCTGCATTTTACTGTTGATTTATTGATTAGGCTTCAAGTGATAACCCTGCAAATTCATTATCTGCATGTAGGCTTGCTAATGAATATTTTTCTTCTAGGCTTTTGAGCGCGGAGAAAATACTTGTTGTACTTATGTTGCTCCTGGAAGATCAGCAGACAAGTTTGACCGCTTAGATAAACTAGGTTTGTCATATAGAGTGAATGAGATGGCATTAATTCGTGCTCTTTTATCTGGAAAATTGGATCACTCTATGTTGATATCATCATCAGGTAAGTATTCATGTTATACTCCAGATAAGGCACATCTGATTTTTCCATAAACATGTTTTATTTTTTAAAATTGAAAGAGCACTCATATATTAAAGAAATTGAAGTAAAAATAGAAAATTGAAGACAAAAAACTGGGATAGGAAAATTGTGGGGGGTGAGGGGGAATTAGAGAGAATAGAATGGAAGGGGGAGAGTGCCTCATGCCGGGCACATAGCATCGATTTAGCCTGAAGATTATCTGTCGGATGGCCAAATTAGCACCTGTCAGCCATCTTTATCTCTCTTCACTTACTCCGTCTCCCCAATTTCTATCTTTAATTTTGATTTAAAAATCTGATTCTTTTTGTTGAAAAATTCTAATTCAAAATTTTAAGCAATTTAGAAAACTAAATTAAAAAGAAAAACGATGTGTCACTTTGAGGTTTGCTTTAGGGTAAACTTTTCTTTTTCTACTTAAACGAAGGTTCTTTGGCTGTTAAATTTTGTAAATGATGCTTACATACTAAAATATCCTATGATGCAGTTTTCTCTGTAGTATTTGTATTGTATTAGTTTTGCAATATTATGATCTAATATTTTTATGCATATGGTTGTTCCCAAATTTTGACTGGACTCTGGAATCATCTTTTAACTTCTATTTTTGAACCGATTCCTCTTATTTCCTGTTTTTCTGTTCCATTGAAATAGCATTTACTTAGAATTTATGAATATTGTTAAATTTAACGAGTTCTCTCCTTGCAGTTCCTGTTTCTTCTTGCTCCACTGATGAAACTGTAGTAGCTGATTCAGAAGAGGAAAATGAAACAGCTACATCAGTTAATGCAAATTCTACTATTCAAAATAAAGGAGCTCGGACTTATGTGAACAGAGGAATTTCCATGGAATTCCCTAGCTATGTGAGCAAAGCAGAAGTTTCTACATGTCACGATACTAGTAAATTGGAGGATGGCATAAAAACCTCCAAAGATGATAATTGTTGTTTGACAGCAAGAAGAGATAAGGCCGACGAGGCTGAATATGGAAGTTCTAGTATTGTTTATAGCCAAGTTCTAATAGTTAGAGATGTAAATGTAAGTTCGAGAAGTAGCTATAAAGCTGACAATGGGGTTATAAACTACAAGCGCTTTCGCAAGGTAACAACTTTTGTGCATGCATTAAGTTTTTTTCTTGTTTCATGTCATCATGAATTTATGTTGCTAATTCTCCTGGATTCTGTCGAGACATCAAAAGTGTGCTTTCTTACTTTTTATTTTATAATTGTTGGGACTTGGATCTGATTGTGTTAAATCGATTTCTTTTTACTAATTTCTTATGTCATCACTATGTTGCCACATCTAATTTGCCAGCTAGGAATTCCTCGCCAAGTACATATGAGTTGGAAAACTAGGGTTCATTTTGAATTAATTCTACTCATGTGTGTATGGTTGGAATATTATCTGTTCAATTATTATTATTATTATTGTGTCTTATATTCACAAATCTATGTAGGCAAGCATTCAGTCAGGAAATAGCTTCAGCAATCTTGTTCCATTTTCAAAATATCCTTACAAGTAAGATACTAGTTCATAGGTCTATATGGATTCCACATTATGTTTCATTGTTTGGTTTGTATATTATTGTTTTTTGTATCCGTGTGCACCATTGTGTTTCCTTTTCTGGATCCTAGAGATTATGAATTTGGAAGTGGGGAGTTGTCTGAGTCTGTTAAAGAGGAGAAAAAGAGAAAGAAGATGGACGCCATTGCGGATGACATGTTTAACAGTGAAAAGGTTTATGTTTTGTTTAATTTATTTTGGTTTTGATTTGGTGATATATATATTCCTGGCAAGTAAAGTAACTCAGCCTCTAATATGATAATGCAGGGGGGAAGACAGCGTGGTTTATCAGGTTCTCTTCGTCGTGGGGGACTTCATATGCGGGGTTGACAAAGGTGTTGTATTTAGTGCAGTGTCTTCCTTATGTAATCACTAGATTATACCTTTGCTAGAGGGACACATGGCATTAGTTAAAAAGAGCTTGCGTCACTGCCATGTGTATATAAAAACATACATTATATTTGGGAGGAGAGATCATTTTTATGTTTCTTGAAGTTTAATTAGTCTACTGATTATTGTAGTCCTTAAAAGTTTTGTATTTACGAGTATGTAATAGTAAAGTGTGGATATGAAAGGTGTGCACGCATATATGTTGATATGCAAAACAGATTGTAGGCGGGTAAAATTTTATTAATATGATAGTGTCACGGGCCGACCCAAACACTTGAGACCAATGCACACTTTCCCACAACACATTGGGCTCAATTGGTCCATCGAAATTGACTTGATCTTGTTTCCTTCTAGGTCTGCCTACAACAGTCTTAGTTCATCAAGTCCCAAGACAATTAGGAATGAGCATGAGGCTTGAATTTAAGGTTGAGTTTTTTCTTTTAAAAATTAGGTTTAGGTTTGGACGGTCGGGTCGGGTTTTAGAATTGATAATCGATTTCAGGTTGGAGTGAAGTTTGCATTCTAGGTGAAATTTGCTAAAATAAAAGTCTCCTATGAAAAGAAAAGGTTCGTATTAGCTGCAACATAAGATAGTTGTTAGAAGGTTTGTGAGAAAGAAGTGCCATTGGATCCTGAAACAATTAGGAAATACTTGGAAGTGTGAGTAAGTACATTGAGTTTATCAACTCTGATGTGACCGTCTAGGTTTAAAAATTACTCAAGCAAGCTCTTGGGGTGGAATTTCCCTATAAGAACAATATAATACGCTCCAACATTCATTTTATAATCATGAAATACAATTTGATGTCATTAGAAATTTTTATTAAAAATGTCTTTTTTAACATTACACTTTTAAGTGTCTGAACCGTAACGGTCGTTAAATTTGATCGGTATCTAACATGTGTCATATATATAAAATTTTTGATACATGCACTACACGCCCAAATGATGAACTTACTTTGCCTCCAGACCCAATTACCAGAAGACGGGCTAAACTACTCAAGGATCAACTCCAAACTACACAGACTTTCGTCAACAAGGACCTTCAAGCCCACGTGGAATTAGAAGAGTTCAAGGAGAGAAAACCATGAAGACATGCCCGAAACTGAGTTCGAACTACCATGAGCCCAATATTTTGTAAAGTTACCCAATATTACATCTATAAAACTTAGGCTAACTCATAGATTTAATAATTATTAGTTTACTTTATTTTATTTAGGATCATGCCCAATAAGCCATTGGAATGTAACCTTTGATAGCTTATCATCCTTTCCAAGCAAGCCCATCACGCCCAAAGCCTTTATCAATACCCATTCCCCTTACTTATTACATGCTTGGACGCCTATCAAGAGCACATATCACCATTAATGCTCATTCATCTTCTAGAATGGAAGGTATGGACTGCTCATCAAGTTCAAGACTCATTTCAAGTCATCTTTTATTGCCACCGTCGGATTAAAAGCTTCATCAATGGTCACTATTCAATGTCGCCCATGCACATAGATTTATGAGAGTTTTATATATTTTTGATGTTGTTTTTATTATTATTTTATTTGCTATTCATGTTAGAACGAGGACTCTTCAAACCCTATATAAAGAGGCCCTCCCCTCTTATTGTAATCAACAACTTTTATTCTTTTATATACAATACAACAAGAGTTCGTTTTTGCAAGAGTTGATTGCCTTGTGCCTTTGAAGCATCTTCTTCTTTAGTTCTTTCGAGCTCTTGAGAGAGAGATCTTCACACTCTGGTTTGCCTATTCATTGCAATTATGAGGGTTGGTTAGAGTCGTATTATTGAGTTTACCTTTTTTATTTTGACTAGGAGGGTTCGATAGGACATATCCATATATCTTTCATCAAACCATCACCGTTATCTTTTATCTTCATCATCATCTTCACCATAACCCCTAGTTTTATACCATCTTCACCATAAAACCTAGGGTTTGCGACAATTTCATACCTATCGGGGTAAATTTTCAAATTCGTTTTTCTCTTAATCCGACCATCCGATTTTAATTTCGTTTTCACCATCTTCTTCCTCGTTTTATCCTTTTCCAATGAGCATTCATCCATTAAAATCCAGCAACTAAATCATTGGGGGGCATCTTCAAAAGGGAAGATTCATTATTTCTTTTATTACATGTTTTTTTCTTATATTTAATTATTACCCTTGTTTATCTTGTCTTTATTCTTCTTTAATATTATTACCCTTATTTTTTATTATCTTTAATCTTCTTCCTTTTCCTGTCTTCCAGCAACTAAAGTTCCTCAAAAACCCTAATCTTGTTACCAATCCTAGTTCACCCATTCAAAGTATTTCATTTCTTCATCAAGTTTAGGATATTCTTAGGTTTGTCCCCTTGATGAGAGTAACGTTCACATCATCTGGTATTGTTTCTCTATTAATTTCAAAAATTATTTTACTTAAAAAATTAATATTATAATTAAAAACTAAAACCCTTAAATTTTATATTTTTCATCGCCAGTCGACTACTGTCAGTCTGTGATCATTACCATTGACACTATCTATAACCCCCTAGACCTAGCCTAAGAGTTATAACTAAATCAGGGTGACCACGTTGATCGTGTAAACAATCCATGAACGTGAATTATTAATAAGTCATTTTGAAAACATCTACCGAATACAATATCAGAAATAAACTCACACCGCATCTTAAGAAGGTTGGGAAATAAATATTAAATCCCACAAAGTTTATAATCGAGACCACACCTCCGATAGCCGAATTGGTCCTATATTTGGATAATTTGAAAAAGAAAGATGGAAACAGAGTGAACTACAAGGCTCAGTGTGTCCTCTAGATTTAATCAGGTAATATCAAAAACTCAGAAAATTCAAGCATAAAATAATAAGCAAAATAATAATTGAACAATATTAAAATTTGGATATTTTACCAGCGAAATATCCCAATAAAAATTCACAATCTTACCTTTCATTCTGAAACATCATATTACTTCGTAGAGGATTCCAACAGAAATCAAAATAGGGATTTACCCCTCCATATAGGATCCCAAGCTTGAGTTACTCCAACTGATGACAGTTAAACGAACTACTACCAATGTTGATTACATAAATATTTCCGTGAGAATCATGTTGGGAGGATTGTAACATTCTGAAATCAGGGTTAGTGATAAAAATTAGAATTTTTAAAATTTGGGGATCAATTTAGGAAAAATTAAAAGTTCAAGAATTTTAATAGGAATATTTCATTATTGGATGAAAGGGTAAATATGAAATGATTATAAGGGCATTATGGTAATATTAGCTTAAAAGATATTTTCTCCCTTTTATAAGAATGAAACACATGGGTTTGGAGAGTTATCTGGAACTCTTCTTTTTCTTCTTTCTTTCTTCTTCCCGTGTGTTCATGCTTAAGCCTCAAATGTGAGTTTTAATTTTTATGGTTAATTATTGAATATTTGAGTTGTGTTTTATTCTTTGAGTGTTATTTAAGCTTAAAGAAATCTTATATAAGCTTATAACACCAAGCGGAAAGAATTAGAAAGGAATTTTATTAAGAGTTAAGAAATGAACTTTTGTTATAAAAATGTTTTTGAAGTTCCAAGAATGAATTTGACTTGTCAAAGGGTTAATTAAGAAGTTAGAGGTGATAGAACTGAATTTAGAACACATGGAAAATTTAATGAAATTCTTTGATTCAAGAATTATGGTGGATTATGGGAGATGGTAAAGTGATATAGTGTTATAAGAAGGTTTATATATGTATAGATTAGTTTTAAGGTACAAGGAAGGATTAATAAGTAGAATTTGGGGTCAAAACAAGATATTTTCATGCTCAATATGTAATTTATGGGTTGTGTGCATCGATGCATATTCAATGTGTACCGATGCACTCTCAAATAAATAAACATCGAATGCCCTTAGTGCATCGATGCACTTCTTTGCATCGATGCACCCCCTTAAAATGAAAACATCGAAGGTGATTGGTGTACCGATGCATAGGTAGTGCATCGATACACATATTAAGGGATGCATCGATGCATGGTATAATGTACCGGTGCACTTCAATAAGAAATGAAATAAATCTTTCTTTCAGTCTAAGAAATTATAGATTATAGTATATCAAGGGAATACTGATAGTATAAATATATGATTGTGTAGACATCGATCGAAAGCAAAGTTCGGATAGGTCTGCAGAGTAAGATACGCAAAGAAAACAAGAGCTTAAGAGTGTTCATTGAGACCAGGTGAGTATATGATAGTAAGTGTACGTTATGTTAAGGAATTAAGACTTGCGATGAGTCTAATTCCGATATTATATGATATAAGTATTAAAACATAAACATGTAGTGATATGGTGTTAGATGTATGGTATATGAGTAAATGCATATGTTTAATTGTTGAATGCATTTTTATGTATGAACTATGTAAATGTCTGTATTATGATAATAGGTCATGCGATCATGAAATATATGATAAAAATATATATGAAAATAATATGACTCATATGTCCTTCTATTAGAATGCTATATGATATGTTAATATAATAAGATAGATTAGATATTGATAATAAGACATAAGATTATATGCATATGTAATATATGTTAAAAGATAAGAAATAATATGTTATATGCATATGAGAAAAAGGTATATGTGATGTGACCATGTGTGAAAAGGATGAATAATGTGAATTTCATGGAAAATGCTACGTGAAAGTAAACTACGTGACTATGTGATCATATGAAATGTGATAAAGAGCTATGTGAAAGAACTATGTGATATGAATATGTGAATGTGTAATGAGGTAAAAGATAATGCTCATGTCATTTGTTATGAGAGCTATAGGTATAGTTGGCATGCCAAGAGTCGAGGGTCTACGCGGTCATTCGGGACATAGTGGTCATTCGGGACATATGTGTTATATATGGTCTTTCGGGACATCTACGTGGTCCTTCGAGACAAATTCTACGTGTCCCTAGTGGGATTTATACGAGCTGTGGTGACATCATAATGCACAACCTCTATGTACTTGCGTACCTTAAGTTCTCAATAGTGTGCATGGGCTTTGAAAAGAAACATAATTTGATATAATGATATAGGTGTTTCTCGTGAAATGGTATATGTGATATGTGATATATATATAAGTAATAAGTTAGGATCATATTATAGTAATGGTAACAAGTGCATATGTGTAATGGTGATATGAGATGTTATATGGTTATGTATGAT